AACGTCGATTCTCGGTAACAAATCGGTAACGTAACGGTTTAAGCCACTATTTTAAACGTCATCGATTACAGAAGTTTACCAGACTTTCCGTAAACGTACCACGTGTTTCGATTCACCGCCAACGTGATGAATACAGGCGTATAAATGATTACGCGAATCTCTCGCGCGTATAAAAATATTTCTCTCTACTTTACAAAGTTAGAAATTCCATTGAATTGCTAACGAATTAATTTACTAACTAACATTACTAACGATTATTATTCAAAGGGGATAAAAATATCATCTCTTTTCGTTATTTGTTACAAATTATTTGAAATGAATTTTAATGATAATTTTAATGAGATTGACGAAACTTTCTAATAATATATGGGCGTCGCCAGAAGGCAAAACCTTCTAGATCTAAAAGATCTAATGTTACAAAATGCACGTGAAGCTTTCTTGATGTTGCAACGTCGTGCCTCTCGATGATCCCTTCCAATGCCGTTCTATCTTTCACAAGATAATTTGAATGATGGTTTGAGTAATAAGGTGAACAGAATGCAATCTCAATCTTAAAATTTAATTTACGATTCGTGACTCGGTTTCTTTATTAAGACATAACAGAAAATTTCATTACTTATTATTTGCATATTATAATCTTTTTCTTGAAGTATATTTCCTAATATTATTCTAATAAAAATTTAAAATTTTTCTTATTCGTGAGAAGAGAATTATAGAAAGAAGAGAGATACAGAAATTTTAATTTCTCTTTTCAAGAATGCAAAATATGATAAGATTTTTATTTTTCTAATGAAATGAATAAAGAAGAGCGATTATAATCAATCTTTCGAACAATTTTTCTTTATCATTTCATTAAAAAAAAAAAAAAAAGAAATTTACAAAGACATCTGAAACTTTAAAAATCTCTCCTTTCACACGTTTCTAAAATAACGAAAAAGCTTTCAGTTCCAAAGGTAATCCGCTCGATCGAATGTTCACTGCCCCCTCGTGGTAGATACTTGCTAGAAGGTTGAAAAATTATTTTCAGAAACTCGACAGTCGACTCGCTCTTAAATGTCACCGCGACGTCAGCCGAGCTTATGGCGTGTTCCGATGTCGTATCGACGCGTGCTCTCATCACAACTATACCACGCCACGTCGTCCTCGAAATTTCGCTCATTTCATATTCTTTCTCAACATATCTCTACCAATAATATCTTTTTTTTTTTATCTCGAACGTATATATATATATATATATATATATATAGTCGAGTCTCTATATTAGAGACCTTGCGCTCAAACATGCAAAAAGCAACGACTAGACCACAACGACAACGTTAGACCAGGATTTTAACGGGTATCCAAAAAGCTCGGCTCAATCCAAGGGATCGACGAATACACGGTATCACCTTAGAATGACACCGGTTGCCTTCACGGTGTGAACAAAGCGTTACAAAGAGGATGCAGGCGACACGGTGCAGCCATTGGGAACATCTTTTGCTCCGGCGAGCAAATCACCAGGCGTGTGACGCCACGATACGAAAAACGGGATAGTGGATGGATCGTGTAGGGTGGCGGCAATCTCGCACACAAACGTGATGCCACGACCACGGAGCAGTGTTCCAGGATCGTCGAATGTCGCGGATCACTCTTTAACCATTTTTAGATAGGCTAATACGGTGAAGAATGAACCGTACGGTAAAGAAAGAAGCGAACCGTCAACTAATGCAACGGTTATTGACATTAATCGTGCTCGAGCAATCGCGTGCACGAGAAAAGACGCGACACGACGAAGAGAAAGGGAGACCGAGCTCGCTCGCCCGTGCCCGTGTAAGAGGGAAAGAGGAAGCGAGAGGAGGGAAAAAGAGGGAGAGCAGAAAAGAGAAAGGTGTTTTTCGTTCGTTTCGTAACGGGCAGACTCAGAACGAACGAAACGAAACTAAGCGACGGCGTCTAATCGACGTTCGGTGGAATTGTCGCGGCACGGATGAGTAGTAGAATGGAAGCAACCGGTCATGGGATTGTTGAGACATTCTATTAAATGTACAGTTATCTCTCGGGTTTAACTTTGTCGTTAGGAGTTAGTTTTTTGTTTGAAATTCTCGATACGCTCGATTTCTTCTCGGCAAACGATTCGAGCCTGTGCGAGATTTTTATCGCGGAACGGTTCATTTTTTTTTTTTTTTTTTCTTTGACAGACTCAGGTATTTTCTTAACATCCTGTCTTCTTTTCTAATCTCTAGATATGGAATTGCAGAATTATTTTATTAAAAATTCTTGCTTTTTTTTCTTTGCATTTAATCGTTAGTACAAAATAATGTTTGAGTAATTTTTAAGATAAATGATATTTTATAACTGTTCGAAATTTGTACGATAAATGTCTTCTCGATGATGCAGAATTATTTTATTAAAAATTCTTGCTTTCTTTTCTTTACATATAATCGTTTAGTACAAAATAATGTTAACGAAAAAAAAAACATGATGACGAAAAAAACCTTGTATTGCTCTTTGTAAGACGTGTGTCTTTTATGTTAATTTTTGAATAATTTGTTGTTTGTTGAGATAAGCGCGAGTTAAAATATTCATTTTTATAGAAAATTATACAAACGATATTATTTCGTGAAAATAATATTTTCATTCCTTTTTATTTCTCATTGATTCCCAATTTCTAATTTTCAATAATTCATTTATCAAGAATTCCTTTAATAAATTAAGATAAGAAAATAAGATAAAAATTCGTACGCAATTCTAGTAATTACTCTAGTAGAGTAATTTTTAAGATAGATGATTCGCGATATTTTATAACTGTTCGAAATTTGTGCAATAAATGATGACGCAGAATTATTTTATTAAAAATTATAACAAAATAATGTTTGAATAATTTTTAAGATAAATGATTCGATATTTTATAACTGTTGGAAATTAGTGAAATAAATATCTCCTCGATGCAGAATTATTTTATTAAAAATTGTAACAAAACGCTTGAATAATTTTTAAAATAAATGATTCGTGGTATTTTAACTGTTCGAGATTTGTATGATAAATGTCGCGTTTTCTCGATGATTTATAGATAGTACTTTTTTTCTTTTTTCTTTTTTTGTTCTTTTGTTTCAAGATTCGATGTTGGCGTGATAATTGCAGGGTTATTAAAATGTGCGTGACTGTTATTACATCGTTCCACAATAATTCTTTCTTCTAAGAACGCGGCGACTTTCTCTTGACCGTTTTCGACCGTTCTACGCGTCCTTCATTTTACAGGCTCGGTCTTTCCAGGCCATGAACTATCTAATACCGTGTCATTTCAATCTTTCACTACAAGCATTAGAAGAACCAGTTATA